GGCCGCCCGGTGCGAGAGACCCGCCGGGCGCGGAAGCAGCTCCTCCCCGGCACCGCCCGCTGCCGCTGTCCGCTGCGGGAGGGCTCACGCCCAGCCGAAATCAGCCGGCACTCGCCCTCCTCCCCGACAGCCCGGCCCGGGCTGTGCTTCTCCCCGGGCGCTGTTGGGTTTGGCGGAGCCGTGCCTCAAAGGCAGGCAGCCGGCTGGGAACCGTGTCCCGCCAGGCGGCCCGCTCACACCGCGCTTAAAAGTTACGTTTGACCCGCTGGTCTGCGGTGACGCCACGGTGAGAAACTGAATCCGCTCCTGGGTTTGGTGTTTTGGTACCTGCGGTAATGCAGAAAAAATAGCGGTTCAAAGCGATTTTGAAAAACAAGAATCCCATTTCCTGCTAGAACTGGGATTTTAAAGGCTGTAGTTACACAGTTGATCACTCTCTTTAAGCGAATCTGTGTAGTAGTGAAGCTATTTTAATGTCGGGTAACCATGCTTTCAGGACAAGTAAGCAGAACATTAGAAGGAAAATGTCGTGTTTATTTGGTCGTGCAGTGTGGCATATTGCATAGATATACCTGTCCATGCCAGGTTCTCAGTAAAAAAGCACGTGCCTTATGATGTTTGTTTATTTAAGACCAGCTGTGTTGACCACTTCAATCTGCACATTCCCACCAATTTTCATTATATGAAAGGATCGCGCTGGTTGCCTAACTGTTTGTGCTAAATGTAGCCTAGGGAGAAAATGACCTGTGCTACCACAGAATAGAAGCAGTTGTTTCACAAGAAGTTGTTCGACTTTTTTGTTCGCAGTTTCTAGAAATGTTCGTGATATATATACATACATTTGCAAATACCCTAAAAATATAGGGCGCTTTTCACGCTGTCTTAAAATCCGCTGCAGAATTTGAAATTTCTGAGGCTATTGGCCTCCTCACAAAGCTCAAGAGAGGGGTTGAAGGAATTAATTTCTCATTTCTTACTTACAGAAGTGTCCGGACTCCCCAGCTTAGGCTGTGTAAGCTAAGCAGGTATTAAGGGACAAGCCCTGCCTATGGGGTTTGAGCGGACAGGACAAACAATGGAAGAACGGAGAGGTAACGTGACTTCTGTAAGACCTTGTTTGGAGAGGATTCTTGAGAAAGTTCAGGTGAACTTAGATTTAAAGTGAAAAACTAATTTAAAGCCACTTAAATTCTGGATCTTAACTCTTAATAATATACACTTTAAATTAACAATAAAGGCTAATTTTGTGATGGTTATGTGTCCATGTGTAGGCAATCCTTAAGCTTATACAGAAAGTCAGATATATACCTGGAAACAGAAGCCAGCCATCAGACCCTTCAGTTGTCTTTGATTCCTATGATGCTAAGACATTTTGCACCTGCCAAAAATTTGGCCCCCGTCTCTAGGGCTCTTGAATCTTTAAAAAAAAAAAAAGAAAAGTTCAACATCTAACCGTTGTTCCCAGGTAAGTCCTTTAATTAGAAAAAGAAAAAGGTTAATTGAATAACTGCTGGTTTCAGTAATTCTTTCTGCCATCACTTAAGTCAGACAATAATCCAAAGTATAGCACAGCCTGCCATCAAACAATTCAAGGAAAGGTAGGACAACGGAAGCACTTAAAATTTCAGTTAAGCAATGCTTCAGAACAGTTAGAAAGAATTAGCGTTTGTGCTCACAAGTGTGGGGTTTTCCCGCCAGGCTCAAGTTTGCTAACATAGACTTCTTGTTTTCCAAACTTCCATGCAATAAAACCTCATACTATGAAAGAATAAAACCCTTAAAAAAAAGAAAAAAGAAAAAAAAAAGAAAAATGCTTTCTTGTAGCCTTGGGGTCGACAGTTGTCTCTATTGCAAAACGATAGTCTCGGCAGCCCCTCAGTGTGTTATTTTATAACCATTGTCCTGAAAACCACTATGAGTCAAAGCCTATTCAAGCGAGGGAAAGTGACATAACCACTGGTTACCAGCAGCAATGCAATGACAATCTCTCTATCAGGGATACGCCACCAGTATTTACATAGTTACATAGCAGACACTTAAAGAGATAAGTCATGGTATAAAGGGAGGGTTTCTAGCAGCACATGAATTCAAGATAGGGAATTGAAAATAGATTATCATAGAAAATGCAACCAGCCTTTGAATCAGCTCTGAAAGGAACTTCCACAGTTTCTATTTACAATGTATGAAAGCATCCGCAGGGCTAGCTGACAGTCTGATCGCTCGGGACTGAAATGAGTCTCAAAAAAGCACTGTGAAATGTACTTCTGGGAATTCTCTTACACCAGCAGGGATGTGGCTGAAACATTTCAAGAGAAAAGGGCAGCTGTGCTTATGAACTACTCCCATGGTAGACGCTGTATGGTTGGGAGGGTTCAGAACACAGACCTTTATCCAAAGGTAGAAAACAGTTAAGATCTTATCAAGGACGGCCTATGGGCAACAGCTCTGTGACTTCTTAGGGGAGAAACCAGCTGGCTCTGCCTCTGCTAGTTCCTGGTATGTGTGGTGTTTGGTAAATGTTAGTACTTTGTGGGGTGTGACAGGTACAGAGTGAGCCGTACAGTCACTAACCACAAAATATTTTAAAGCCAAGATACTAATTTACTGTTCGCTAGAAGTAAAACAACTACAAAATATTTGACTCTGACATCAGGCCCGGCTCTGCAAAGACTGTTTTAGCAAAAACAGCTTTGTAAATTGAATGTACGTACCCAATCTAGATATGCTGGGGTGTTTTTATATAACACATCTTGAAAGCATGGAGTTTTCATACATTCATACATATATTCATGGATTTGGAGCAGCAGTGGGTCATGAGGTGTACTTGATTAGAAAGCAAAAAAAGAAAAAGAAAAAAGCAAAAAAAAAAAAGCAACCCCCTACCCACCTGCATTGTTCATGAGATCGAGAACGGATTTATCCTTCACTTAAACAGAAGAAGTTAAAGCTAGGAGGTGACTCACTCCGCCAAAGCAGACCTCCCTTGTATGATTTTTCTACAAAGGGACGTTTAATTTCTTCCTTTTAATGGCAACGAGCACAATACTGATCTTCTTCCAGCAGTTAATGGCTGGCATAACAGGCAGTATGAGAGCATGACTACATTCTTCAGCCTTCTTCTGGAGCTATAATCTGCATCACACTTTGAGACCACAAAAACAAACAACAAACTTGTTTCTTTCCCCTTTCAAACACAACTAACCCAAGTGTGAAGTTCCGACCTACTAGTCATGCTGACAAAGCTCCTTCGCTACTGGAAGTAGGGATGTGAAAAGTCACGTAACAAATACAGCCACAGATGGCTTTTTATTTTCAAGTGCTCTGCGCACACTGTGGTAGTCCACCGGCAAGAACAGATTTGGACTGGTGGCCCATGGAGTTGAGCCAATTAAAAAAAAAACAAAAAGAAAGAGGGAGGTCTGACCATTACATCAGGAAGCTGCGCGAACTGACGGTTAGAGAACAGGAGGTGAAGACATGCGAGTTCTTCTGTCTGATTTTGCCACTGAATCTGTGAATGACTCCTGGCAACTAGCTTTAACTCTCCTTTTGCATTCTGCCTACTGTGACTACTCCTGCATGCACTGGGCATCTCTGCTATTATACACGCATGATTTACAGTGAAAAACAAGTTCAAGTTCTATTTTAAATATGTTTTGACACATTAATCTTGAAAGAAAAGGCATAACGTTCCATATACTATAAAGGAAATAAAAGAAAAGGTGTAATGGAGAAATTTGTGTTCATATGCCATGGTTAGAAAATCGCTAGAATTAAGACATTCACAAATGCATTATCCAGTTTAAATAAATGCATGGCACCATCAAATAGAGAAAGCAACTGGATCACTGGGGTTTGTTTTTCAGGGAAAACTACCAATAGAACCTGTGAAAGGTCCTTGTTAACTATTGGTCCGTGAACAGTGTGTAATAAGAAGAAAACCAGTGCCCTTCCCACACAAACCTCCTACCTTCCTAATTGATGACAAGTGATCAGCTTGACAAGACCTTGGCACCGACAAAGTGAGCATCCCATTCAAGTTGTATCTTTCACCGCGTGATACAGAAAGGGGGTTTCACAGTGTGTCCTTGAAGCGTAACCAAACCTAGGGTGAGCTGAGTGAAATAATTTCTGTTCAGACATACCCAGATTCTTAGAAGGTTACTTTTGTTCTGTATTGGAATGAAAGGGCTACAGTCAGAAATTCAGTGGAATTCAAATTCCGGAGTATTTTAATTGTGAAGTAAGACGATATTTCAGTGTTGAACAAATATTTAACACATAATTCATCATGAAGTTCTGAGAAACCTAACAATCATTTGAAGGCTTGTATTTTATCAAAACTGAGGAACTATCCACTAGTCACTCCCACTAGCCATTTTGGTGACAACTGCTGTTGTACTGGAAAGCTAATCTGTCAGAAGGAAAGCCCAAATTAACTCTTCTTTTAAGCACAGAGGAATGAAAATCCCAAGTGTTTAAGTACCCCTCAGTGCGCATGGTAAACCTCCAATTACAGTAAACTCCTGCTTAATGTGTGGCAAGACAAACTAAGAGGTCCATCACCCCTCGCAGAGAACATGAGGAAAAGAGTCAGGAAGCCTTTCCATTTCTGGAGAACATGGGTAACTGCTGTTCCAGGAGAACAACTGAATGAATGTATTCTGTCTAGAAAGTAAAGGTATTTATGGATTCTTCTACTCTGACCAGTAAAAAAACACTTTGCAAATGTCTTGAGCAATAGGTCATTTTACACTCACGCAGTGTTCCGTTTGTCTGAAAAGACTTCACTTACGGTCTCAGTTGAGACACCTTTCCAGTTTGAAACCACGTAAACCTAAACATTCAGAAGGGAAAGGTTATAACAAGGAACATAAGAATGTATGTTTTGCTTCACAGCTTGTGATAATGTAATTCCAGAAAGAAGATGAATAAGCTTCACAAAGTAAAACCAAAAAGAAAACATCACATTAATGCAATCTACAGTCCAGTTGACATTATAGGAGGTAATTCCTCTTTATATGCTTTGGTGTGACCCAAACACAGTAGTTAAGATGCGGTATGGATCAAACCTGGAAGTTATTGATGAGCAGCCTACAAAGCAAATAGAACATGCAGCCTCTGAACAGTTTGAAATCACAGCTGATAGGTTTATTTGAAACTACAGGACACATTCTTGCACAGGTTTTAAAAGGTTTCTGGACCACAGCTATTTAGCTGTCTTTAGATCGGTATGGACTGCTATCAAAGAAGTCGCCTCTTAAAAAGTATGACAACGAAGTCTTTTTATGCCTGTTGTGATTCTTAAAATCCAAGAGCCAAGTCATCCTTTCCTACACAAACATCTGTGGGAGTGTAAAAGGCCTCCTGAATCCACAATTTTAATTTCAGCAGTTTTCTGCGGGGAGTGAGGAAGATAAAGGCAAGTTCTACAATCACAAAAAATGAGAAGCATGGGTGGTACTACTGAGGTAGAAACCCTGAAAGCAGCTAGAATAAGCCAATGCTTAACAATGGTAGTGGCATGTGCTTTCTAAGCTACCTTTGACAGCCAGATAAATCCTACAGTTCTAGGGCCCACGCCTGTGCTGTCTTTGGGCCGTTGCTCACAGCCTCCGTATCTTTGCTGCTGGGGGAAAACTCGTTCAGGCAATGATTGAGGAACGCATCCCTTCTTGGCAAAACTCTGAGGGCCATACTAGTGGTCCCACAGCATTTAAATGAGACTTAAAGCATATGCTTCAAGTTAAGGGAGTTCTTCCAAGGTTTACTCATGGGGCAAAGGAGTAACTTCGAATAGAATAGAATAATTCAGTTGGAAGGGACCTACAACGATCATCTAGTCCAACTGCCCGACCAATTCAGGGAACTTCAGCCTATGCTTAACTGTTTTCTTGACCTGGGGGCTTGAATATCCTCATACCTGTGACTTTCATCCCAGAGGCTGTACGCAGCCTCTTCATCCTGGGGTCTGACTTGCACTATTAATGAGTATATAGCTGTAGTGATCTACAAGGTTACGGCCTCCTGCTGTTCGCTGTCATCGCAGTGCCAGAGGTTTCTGCCCAGTAATAAGTCAGATGATTCTGTTCACATCAAGCATAAAGGAAATGCATGAAACAAGAGGCAGGCGTTTCCAGTTAGAAATCTGTGAGATTAGTGCTATTTAGCCCATTCTGATCAACCAGACAAAGACTTAGATTGCACCTTTCCACTTCTGCAATTCCATGGAATTAGTTCTGGAAGCTCAGTCGATACTTCTTTCTTGATCCACAGACTTCCAATTTTCTTCAAAATTAGCCTTTAAATATCTGTAGCTATACCTCGTCACTTAGTGAGAAGCCAGACAGCAATTTTACTTATGCAAAACTCAAGTTCACTTTTGTCATACTAGAGTGCAGAAGTGTTTTTTTTATTTTATTTTTTATTTGAGATATTGCAGAGCTTTCTTATGATACACATTGATGGGGCTTCCGGTGGCAGGCTTTCAAAAATAATTAGAGTGATGAATCATAATCAGAAATAAATGACTCTTACATCTATTAAGACAGTTATTTAAAAAATGTTTTGATGAATCATGCAAAAATGCTCACAAACAGCTTTATACTTTTTCATAGATATATTTTTTGGTTTTCCTAAGTCTTAGGAAAAGAGCTTGTGCTTTTAACACTTGAATCGAAAAAATATTTACAGCAGACATCATAAACACGACATTGCAATTCAGACAGGCAAAGTGGTGATGGTCCCCTGCTTTGCCATTCACAAAACACGCTGAGGGTTTCAGATCTGGTCTATAAACTCCCAATTTAAGTGTTCAGTCCTGGATCTTCAGTACGCTCCTTTTCTCCAAATCATTCATTTCCTTCAGTATAAGGGCAACATTGTATCTCAGTTCTTGAAACTTTGCAACTGGCACCTGAAACAGAATATTCAGGTTAGAAAACATGAAACATCTTAGGAACTTTGACTAGGGCATGCCTATGGACAGGGAACATTCCACAGTGTCAGCCCAATCTCTCTTAAAATCCTTTTTTTTTTTGGACTTAAGACAAAGGATTTGAGGTTAATAAAATTCAGTTAATTCAACTAAATCATCTGGGTGAAAAAGAGGAGGAGACTGGAAAAAACCAGAAATAACAGCTACATAGTACATTTTCTATACTGCCTGATGTGAGAAAGGAAGTACTCCAGAATGTAAACTGATGGCTGCTGTGGTGAAGTAAGAGAGTCACGGACTGGAAGGAAAGATAAAGGCACCTGGAAGGTCACGGAGCCTACAGAATTCTCAAGCAACAAATTGCAGATATTCTGCTTGTCCAAGCTTGCAGGAGAAAGGAATTGAGCCTCAAAGCAAGAGACTTGGCAGCAACCTCAAGAGCAAAGAGGACTGGGCACTGTCTATACATGGAAAGCAAAAGATTTTGATTAAATATACAAAACATTTTCAACTGTGCAGGATACTAATGGACTTTCCTTTACCATTTCAAGCCTGAGAAGCCAAATGGATGGAAACCTATTATCTGTTAAGACAGAGAACCACGTCCGCGCACAGGCACAGACTGGGTGACACAGATTAACATTAGTGCCATGCACAAACGCATGTGCTCACGTGAGTACCAACAGCCGTCTATCTAGTCCCAGGCTGCTCTGCAGAGCACTGCGTAATTCACTCTACTTCTTTGACTACATTGAAGACATGCAGTTCTTTTGACAGAGTCCCTTGTCATCCTTCTGCCTACTGTAGCGCAGATATCAATTATGTGAGAGGAATCCAACATCTGATTTGCATTTTCCATATGCATCAGAAATGCATAAAAAGGCAGCATGTCCTTTTCACTTTTGACATATACACAAGACTCGAAATGCTGCAATTCCCATTGCTTTTTAAAAAATCTTCATTGTCAGAAGTCACACTGCGATTAAAAAACCAAACCAAACCAAACCCAAGACACCAAAGAGTGTAACTTCTCCCTGTGGCATACACACTCAATTCTGTTATGAACAGTTTTAATCTCCTGGACTTACCATCTTACATAAGCCCTGTTAGTTAGCAGGACATTCTGAACATGTCCGAATGAAAGGAAACTGAAGAGCTGAGGACTGTATTTGCTTGCATATGGCACCTTGAACCAAAACACAGGTTTATCCCCAAAGAGCTACTAACTGCGGGAAGACCACTCGTCAGATACAGAAATCGTGTTTACAGCCAAACCAAACCAAACCAACCAGGAACAATGCCACCAAGACCAAGACTTGACATTATATACCAGGAAATAAAGCCTCAAATCTAAACAGTAAAGAATATATACTAGTTTTTATTCTCACAAGTAAAACTTACCCTGTTGTAAAGGGTTAACCTGAAGTCCATGGCATCATTTAAGTTCCATGGAAGACCTCAAACAAAGCGTACGGGATGCTCTGAGCTGGGCTGTCCACAGAGGGGTGAATTTGATCTCCCGTGAAGTGACACCCTCAACACTTCGCAATGTAGCACAGAATTTGTGCCTTCCTCAATAGCTGCCTTCTTGTGAAGCATTGTAACAGCAGTCCACCTCTTTGAACCCACAGTGCTTTGGTGCTTCCTCCAGACTACTACTAACACATGAACTGAAGCCAAAATCTTTACAGAGTTCAAATGTAACAATGCCTGCTGTGCACTGAATTCCTGCATGCACCGCCATGTTATTTATAGAGCAAATAGCATTCCTTTTCAAAGGTTAAAAATATGGAAGAGTTTATGCCATCTTCTGGCAAGCCTTTACGTACAGTGTCGTAAATACTGCCACTGACTAATTCTGATGTAAAAAGCAGAGAGGTTTTTTTACTTTCTTTCTAGCAGCAAGAACTGTACTGAAGAAAAAGAATAAAACTACCTCTGCCACAGAAGAGAATGTTACCATTCTCCACCAAATGTAGGAAGTTTAGAAGTGTATCATCCATTATATAAACTACCCCAGTAATTTTTCTGCCCTCAAGAGCCACCATCAGGTCTGAAGGTTACAGTTGATAACAAAACCATAATTTTTAATCAAACCAGATATTATGCAACAGTGCTTTTCAGTAATTAATATTCTTCTAACAAATGAGGTTTCAGCAAAATGTGTGTAGGAACAAGGTATGATTTTGGTTGGCATTTTGTTATATATTGTATGCGGCTACACTGAACATGAAGGATTCCAAAGCAAACCAACCAATGATAATGCATTGTTTACAGAAGCTTTAATATTTTAAATAGTAATTCAACTTTTTAAAAAGAACTTCAAGTAGTTTCTTTTTTATTTATTATGGCAATCTGACTTACTTCAAAGCGATGAGCTGTCCCATCTGAAAGCTTCATCATCATTAGAATGGATGGTTGAAGTGCACGGGCCAGTGAACTGAAATTATTTACATTATTAGTATTACAGCAATAGACATCAGCAGTGTGATGAGTACAGCATTGCACATCAACAATTTAAGATGTTCATGTAGGCTTTACATAGAACACGAGTAATTTCGATCCTAGAGTCCTGTACCTGGCTGGCTGGCAACTCATGAACATAGGAGTCCTGTCCAATTTACCTCAGTACTGAGACTAAAAATTTTTTTTATAGTTTAGTAACTGCAAGTTTAGGAGCATTTTCATTTTACATAATAATCAGTTTAGTGGAACTATGATAGGGATAAGAGCTGACCAAGTACTGCTAGTAATAACGCACAGTTTTCTTACGCAGTTTACCCTGTTGCATTAATCCTTTCCATCTCTTCATACTTTCAACTGCCATCTCATTTGGGGAATCAAGCTCTTCCAGTCTTCATCCTAAATTTGTGGATTGTTATTTTATTTGATGACCCAAAGAGGGGAAATGAGTCATTCTTGTGCAGCTTCCATCAACTGATGTTGCCAAAGCCTGCTCAGGTACTGACAGGCATTACAGCCAGAAGCCATACCTCTTCGCAGAGGCTGTTGCTGGATGATAAACAAGAAATCCCAGGGGGGAGGTTGACTGGAAAGGAAAATAATAGGAAGGAAAACAGAAAAGGATAAAAGGGCAATGAAGCTGGTGAAGGGTCTAGAGCACAAGTCTTATGAGGAGCGGCTGGGGGAACTGGGGTTGTTTAGCCTGGAGAAAACGAGGCTGAGGGGAGACCTCATCGCTCTCTACAACTACCTGGAAGGAGGTTGAAGCGAGGTGGGTGTCGGTCTCTTCTCCCAAGTAACAAGTGATAGGATGAGAGGACATGGCCTCAGGTTGCGCCAGGGCAGGTTTAGATTGGATATTAGGAAAAATTTCTTCACTGAAAGGGTTGTCAAGCATTAGAACAGGCTGGCCAGGGGAGGGGGTGAGTCCCCATCCCTGGAGGTATTTAAAAGACGTGTAGACATGGTGCTTAGGGACATGGTTTAGTGGTGGACTTGGTAGTGCTAGGTTTATGGTTGGACTCGATGATCTTAAAGGTCTTTTCCAACCTAAATGATTCTATGATCTGTATTGCTCCTGTGTTGTTTGGAAAACAAATCATAGGATTTGCCTGCAGCTTGCAAGCATTGTGCCTGAGGATGTTTATCTGTATATTTTGCTCTCTTATAGATACAGATTTTTTCTGCATAGTGAAACCTGTGTGGTGCTTAGAGCACTGCTCATCTGAGAGTCACCTGAACTTGTGGCCATTACAATTTTTACTTAGGAATCTTTTTTCTTGCTTTCAGGAAGACTGCCCCTGATTACCCACAGGCCTCTCAACTATGGCAGCAAAGAGACTGCACTCTCCCTCAGACGCAGGTATTCATGAATGCAATATGAAGTCACTCATGCTAACAATTTACGCTACTGACAAATACTGGATCATCTTCCAATTTCTTTCACCCTGGTCAGTCTTGGTTAGAAGTAGACAAAGACCAGGAACAGCAGAGGCAACAGGTTTCTGTTTCCTTCTGGCTCTAGCCAAAGATCCATCCCCCAGCTGCTTCTGCTGTGGCAGATGGCAAGAAGCTATTCGCTGCAGGCACAGACAGGATGATCACAAAGGCCTTTACTCCTGTTTCGTGAAAGAAACTAGGAGGTGGATCAATGACCAATTGCATAACTATGGCAGTGTAAAGGTGCAGTTCTGAAGCCTCTCTTTGTAGAATCTACAGCAGACTGTACAGCTGATGGAAAGTAATTTTATTTAACATGTGCAACATACAAGTGATAGTCTACTTGAGAATTTGAATAGATGATTTTCCTCCCCTGCTCCAGTGAAACCGAGAGCTTGGTTGGCTGCGTGAGACTCAATCCATCTAATTTATTCCATCATCTCTGAGGACCCGTGGAGTTGTATCAGCTCCATCAAGTTTCAAAATATTGAAAGAGAGACTCAAACTTTGAGTGAAATGTTTCTAGCACAGAGGTTTTAGAGATCGAACAAATAAGGACCCTGAAAAGTATCATTAGTAGAAGATGAAGGCAGCAGCCTGTTGGCAGGCCCATATTAACAGCAGTAACCTGTATATAAACTGACTTCTGTACTGTTCAGAAAATCCCTTCTGTATCTTACCATTTAATGCTACATGCCAATCCCTAACAGCAAGAGACATTTTAACACCGTTAACATTTTTAGGCAGCACAAGAAGTCAGTTTAACCTTGGGCAAAATAATTCCTAGGGTCATGCAGGATTCTTTTTTATACCTTGTGGATATAGCTACGTCCACTCTCCACCTGAAGTCCTGGACACTTGGCAGCCTACTTCCTTGTATCAGAGCTGTGCCTTCGGAAGCAGGACGCCTACAGAATAAATCAGAAATGGGAGACTGAAATGCAAATTCGTAAAAGAAACAACAATCTAAAGAGAAAATAAAATTCCTCAGAAAAAACCTGTCCGGAACTTGTTTCTCTCCTACATCTAGCCTCATTTAGAGAGGTCTGAATGAGTGGAGGTTTTGTGTGTTTAAGACAGCTGTGCTCAGATTACCCACTTTTCCTATGCTTAACTATGGTCCATGTTAAAAAAAAGAGACCAAGTGACTCTCTGTAATTCCAGTAAACCGATGTCACTATGAAGTTTAGTAAGAGTCGTTGTGGTGGCTGGCATATCTATTATTTCAATTATATGCAACTGTGAGGCATAGAAAGGGATCTGCAAGTGTATCTTTACCTTCATGCAGATCCAACAGGAACAAGCAAGCAGGAACGAGACAGATGACTTGAGCAAAAAAGTCGGAATAAGGTCACTGTGCTCCTTCAGCAGAAAGCATCTAGTATTAGCGAGCAGCAATGTTTTAAAATATAATAATAGTAGAGTGTACTTTGAAGCATACTTTAAAAAAAAAAAATCACACAGTGGTTCTTGCTAATCCAACATAATTTACAATCTCTAAGTTCCTTACATAATGTTCCCTGCCAACCCCAGCACAGCCTTCAAGACTTTTGTCTAGTCTAAAGTGTAAGAAGCCAAGGACTTCATTTATTACTCATACCGCAGGAAGAATCAGGCTGATCAAGCCTCAGTTTATTTCTGCGAGGAAATACAGTTGACAGCAATTAAACTTCAAATGGTTGACAATCTTTAAAATTTTAACAGCATCTTAAGCTCTGGGTAAGTAAACAGGCCAAATCTGATACAAAGACATAACAACTACCCATTTTTAGATATATACACAGAAATATCTTCGGAATGGGGTCACTCAGCTGGTCCATTCGAGAGCTAGTCTGGATTTTTTTTTTTTTTGCTAAGCATCCAATGTCTCTGGAAGTTATTTACAGTACATTTCAAAGCTACTCCAGTATTCCCGCTAAGGGCAGGAGAAGAAACGTTACCTCCTTTATCCATGGTGCTAGACATGGATACAGACTTTACATCAGAAAGGAATCCTCTCTGAACAAATCAAGGACTGTAGGAATGATAGTCTACCATCCCTACTCAGATTCTTGTGTGCAAGTTAGCTGGTGCCTTTAGAAACTGCCCAGAAAGATTAATGATTTGATAAGGGACACAGGACTGACAGGCTGAGATCCTCCAATACTCTCGCATTTAGCAAAGGCAATATAAGAAAGAATTTATCCTTTTTTGGGGGGATTGGGTGCTGTCAGAAGTGACACATTCCTAATAGTACGGTAAAGGAACAAGCAGAAAAAATAGATCAGCTGGTTCTTACTCACTGTCAGCTACTGGATAGGAAGTAGGTCACCACAGCTGGGTGCAACCATGAGGAGCTGGAGTCCAGAATGGCCATTATAGCAGGATTAAACAGTAAGAACAGGCCTTTCCCTCAGTGGTGAGCTGCTGCCAGAGTACTGCTTAATTTGGAGAATGCCTAAAAATAGCCACACTGCTGCCGCTTCCTTAAGACATGCTAAATCCCATCAATGGAAGATAGTCCATTCAGTGCAGCACCAGCATTTTGGGGGAAGAAAGAGTAGAGAAAACAGGAAGATGTTCCAGTTAGTGGTGGTGGGAAAGGTCAGCAATGCCCAAACAGAGGTAAAGCTTCTGAATATTGTTGAGCTATGGCATTTCTGTGGCCAAACCACAAAGCTTTAGTTCTGGTCAGGACTGCACTTCAGTACCATTCCCTCAGAAAGAGTCGCGGCTTTTACAGCTTAGTTTAAGCTTCTGTCAGCACCTTCCCAGCTTGCAGAAGATCGCAGCTGGAACTGCAAGAATCCTGTAAGGATGACAGAATGTGCATAGTGGCCAACATACATACAGAAATTATACAGGCTGTTAATCAAGCCATTGATTTCTAAGAGGAATGGCAAAATGGAGCAGAAAAGACTCAATGGATCTTATATCCAAAACCTATAGACTATAATTACATGTTATAAACACTCTGTGCCAACAGCTGCAATATACGGTCAGCACATAGTGCAGAAGGCAGAAGTTAGAACAAGTAAAGCACCATGGATCAGCTAGAGACCGTCCAAATTATATGTGGAAAGGATGATACACCTGGTGACAAGAACATCATCTGCCAAAGGATGCAACAGAAGAGCACTCAAAAATGAAAGATTAGAGAATTTAGAGCAGCAGCTGACCTAACAATATCAAAACTAAAGACAAATTCTGGATGGTTCCCTGTGCGCATAACAAGACACGCCTAGCAGGCCACTGAACAGGGAGAATGAATAAACTGGTATGTGTGAAAGGCTGACAAATGGCACACAGAATGCACCCTCCTGGTAGAAACTAAAGCTACACTATTTAAAAAAAAAAAAGCAATACATTTATTATGAACATTCAGAGAGGGGGAAGTCAGGGTTATCCTTTCCCTTAAAAATATTTTAATTTCATGCAGTTATTTGATGGTGTCAATGTGGCAAGTTTCCTTGCAGTCTATATAGCTTGATGGAACTGTGGGGACACAGAAATACAAATGTCAAATTTCCAGTACTTCAGAGCTGTTGTTTAGTGAACAAAATTGCAAAAATAGGATAAGATGTCAGGAAAAGTATTAAAAATGGATTTTGCTGGGTTATCTAGCTCATACTGAATTTTTGATCAGGTGCTAATACTTCTCTTACTATCACAATCATATATATTTACAACTCAATAAGCATATGTATGATTCAGTGTTACATTTAAGATTGTAAAAGCAGATCTGTCTAGAAATCAAATCTGAGGTGCTCTTCTCTGGTCTCAAAACACAGAGCAAGATTACACTGGATAATCACAGCTTTTGAAATGAGAAAAAGCTAAATTTTCCAGCATCGTGATTTCACAGTAAAAAACAGACAATCGTGCATGCTTCAAATGACATCTAAATTTATCTTCTTTCTCCACTGCAAACAATATTTCCACTTTGCAACCATGAATTTTGCATTCTTAACACCTATAATTCAAACAGAAGAGCAAAGAAAAGATGAGAAAGCTGAATTTATTTTTACTCCAAGAACCTTTAGCTTTAAGCCAAGATCTTAACCAAGGAAATGAAAAATATTTTTAACTTTGGTAGCAGCATTCAGACCCTTGTGAGGGTAACTGAAATACCACAACTATGGTTATCAGGATTCCATGTGAACATCTGGAGCAGCGTTGGGTTAGTGATGCTATGCGCTGAGTGACCTCAAGTTTCAAGGAGGAAAGTTTTGCACATGCAAAAAGTTCATGCAATTTCTAGATGTAGAATAAGCTAAATACGGTTGAGCAGAGAACCATATAGAAAAAAGGAATCCCTAGAACGGACAAAAGAGGCATCATACGTGTCACCAAGTCACCCAGTGTGAACTCCCAATCCAACTGTGCATTAAGACTTGATTAAATGCTATCTGAGAAAGTTTCCACGAACCACAGCATGTAGAAGGCATATGTAGCTTGCCTCTCAGCAAAGCAAGTCTTTCACTTTTGCTCTAACTTGCAATGATAATGATGATAAAAATGCTTACTTCTGCAATGCGTTTTTCATCTGTAGGTACTGATGCACCTTACAGAGTCTATAGAACATTATAAAAACTGACGGGTGATGATCACAGAAAAATTTAAAATTGGCATGAAAGCTACTTACTGCATATATAGCCGTGCATGATGGACATCATGTTATGTTGAATCAAAATAACGGGACAAATCTTGGTCTCATTAATTTAGAGAATTTTGCTGTTCCTTCAATAGGCCTGGGATTTTTGTCAGCAGAGCTCTGTGCAACCCTGTTGGTTGCACAATGCATGATGCATGAAGATACCAACCTGTTACCAAAGACTATACTGGAAAAGTCCATGATGAAATCTTCTGGTATCCTTAAAGAGAAGAGCAGTACAAAATAGTTAAGTGTTTTGTAACCACAAATATACGACCTTAGCTACCAAAAAAAAAAAAAATCTATTATAGAAAACAAAAAATGTGTCAACATTTTCCATCTTCCATTGCTTAAAATTGCCACCAGCTCTTACGTAAGCACTTCAGTATTGGTTCAGTCTAGGCTCTCAAAAGGACAGCCTATGTTTTTATATCAAGGACCCTAAAAGCTGCATTACATCTTCCTGTCCTACCTAGTATGGCAACAGTGAGTTACAAAAGAACCCAGTATTTGCTTAACTTCTCTCAGTAAAGTCAAGCAAAGTTTTACTGATGGCTCTGACAAGTGCAGAAGGCAGGCCAGCAGTGCATGCTTTCAAAAATCCCAAACCTACACATTTCATTTCACTTTCACCTGAAGTGTAATGAGAAGAAGACAGAATGGATTGCTCCCTCAAAAGTAAAAACAGGCCCTTGTAGCTAAGATTACTTACAAATGGAGCATATTTAACATGGGGAGGACAAGCATAAATTTGATGGGGACCATGAGAACTGGTGGAATAGACTAACTCGCACTCCATCTACCCTATGCCTCTCCACTACTTTGCCATTCCTCCAACGCTGTTGTTGCCTTACAAACAAGCTGCTGTTGATTTTCAGTTCAATGTATCAGGCGGTGAATTGCAAAGACTGCAGAGCAAACACTATCCATTCAGCTGCCTTTGCCACAGGGACAGTAACCTCCTACAGAGAGGCAGGTCGGACAAGTGGGAGAAGTAACTACTGCTGCTGCCACAGTTAAATCCAGCACTCAACATGAATCAGTGCCCAGAGACATTACTCACCAGTGGCTTGAGATACACAGCGGTATATCAAAGAAAAATCAAAGCAAACAAGGAAGTTGCCTGTCCTAAAGGGCTTGCAGTATCTAATGATGGGAGGAAAACAACTCATCAACTCACACAGTGGGAAGGTGAAACAGCAGTTACTAGAGCTTGAATTCTTAATGGAAGAACTGCGTTTAAAACACATTTTTAAATGGTGCTTGGATAAAACTGAATTCATATTAGCAAGCTAGTTATCTGAGGCAATCTGGGAAGTGAGGAGGAGGGACTAGACAGTGTTTTTTTAGCTGCATGTGTCCGTCTTTCTTTCAGAAGAGACAAGACTGTACTTCTGCAAACATTACTTATACTTTCTGTGCAAGTGTATCAATCCATCCTGATGATGACCGAATATCCTCTGTATGTAGTGGAACAGCTGGAGACAGGGGGTTGTATCATAGTAATATGATTATTATGATTATTATGATACCTATCACAACACTTGCTTGACTGTAAGAGCAAGCGTTACTAAAACAGACGTATTAATGCTACCTTTGAGCTTGCATTATTTTTGCTGTGCAGTTAATGATTTGATGAAAATTCTGTTCCTGGCTCAAGCAGCTTACATGAGGCCAGTCACACACTAAGCAGATCAGACACAGAACATGGCACAGCTCAGGCCTGAGCTACAGATGGCACTCAGTTTTCAAAGGAACGTTCTGAGGGACTCAAAGGGCAAGGAAGAAGGTGTGAGGATGTCTCAATCCCATGTTATTGGCCTGAGGCATAAAGTTATTAAACAACCTGAGAGGGAGGGAAAAAATAGCACCCACAATTTAGAGTGCATTTATTTTCACTGGCTCAGCCAGTCAGGCTAAGAAATAGGGGATGTAGAATGGCAACCCTGTGAAACCAGCAGTACTGATCTAATTAATCAGAAGTGGGCATGTCTCCCAGCCTCTCTCTCCACCAAAACTAGAAGCCAAGACCAGCTGCATCACCAGGAAATTGCAAATTACAAGACTTTATATGGGTGGAATTAGTCCAGTCTTCAGCTTCACTGAACAAAATAGAATGCAGGAGAGGTGAAAAAAGGTAACCTGGCTCAGAGCTCAAACCTTTTAAAAGAAGACACAACACAAAAAGGGAAACAAGCCATTTTTCTGCCTTAAACCACAAAATACCTGCCCAAACACGGGGTGCCAATAATGCCAAGACACTGCTGTTCAACCCTTTACATGTGTTCTTCATGCACATGATCACAGGATGACCCACGGGAGTCACTGCAGAAGCATAAGTGTCTGAATGTAATTAGTAGTTGCCTTAAAAACAAGCAGGTATTTCATCTCCAAACCCAAGTGCATTGGGAAACATAGGAAATGATGTTTCCCATAGGAATCGAAGATGCTAAAGGTGCTACCAATTTACTAAGTATCATAACTTGAGAGTAGAATAATCTATTTAGTCTTCTAAAAGTTTACCCACAAGGTGAAGAGAGCTACTCACAGGAAATAAGACTGTCAGAGATGGAAGTTAGGAAGAGTCCCAATAATGTGAGAATCATGGGAGCATAGCAGCAACGAGCAGCACATAGAACATACGAGTCTGCAAGCAACATAAATGCAGTTACCTGAACTATTGCTGCTATATCAGTCATGTTAACCAGAACAAGATAAAAAAGATTTATCAAGATACAAAAGATATAAAAAAGATCACCCAGACTGAAAAGCGCCTTCACAGTTTCATGAATAAACCATAAAGTGAGAAAAAAAACCCCAACTACGAAAGTGTAAGGCATTAAAGTGTGGTCAAATGACAAGGACAGGGACCCGGGAGTCTGTATTTCTAGATACAGCCAGTGTACACAGCCAGCCCAGCCAGTAACTTCTGGCACTCCTGTATACCAACTTTCTCCACTGCTCAACAGAGGAATTCACCCACTCCCAAAGAACTTGGCATGGAGCTTTTAGCGCTCTTCATTATTCCTTAATCACACTGAACACATTCTGTGTGCACCTCAAACAACACCAACTCCCACTGGGTCAAAAGCAATTCATCAGTTTCTTACTGACCTACTTTAACCTGGGTGTGAACTCCATGACGTGGCAGAGGAAGCAGCTTACATTTTAGCTCACAAGACAAAAGGCAGGCCAAACTCCAGCACTGAGCTGCTGACAAAATTGTATCAACTAGCAAGGCACCTTTCACCTTGGCCTCAATTACACCTTTCACCAATTACACCCCAATTACCTGTCTAAATCTGCAGCTTTCATTTGCCTGAAGTTGCTCATAAAGTGACTTATGCTTGTGACTCTGCAGAACAGAGTCTGAGGAGAAAGCCAATTTGCAGGTTAACGGACAAATAAGGATGAAAAAAGACAGAATTAGAAACATATCTATTTCTCCTAGGTAGCAATCAGAATGCTAAGAATTTTGGGAAATTAGCATTTTAAAATAACTGAGTCTTGGTGCAGAGATTATTCTACAGATGGAAACATCAACTGCTGTTACTCTCTCATTGCTGCTGAATATGGAAATAAGGGAAAACAGATAAAGATTATTAGCATCCGAGGTCTAGCTTTTAGGATATGAACTTCTATTCCGAGATACTCTGAACAGACTGGCACAGATTTTGACTAAGTCTGTAACAAACGTTGTGCTTTCTTGGGTAATGGGCAAGAGAGATCACAGCTGAAAAAGGTGGCAGGATTTCCTGAGTGTTATATCATTGGCCTTTCAAAGAAGAAAAAAAGTAGGGCAGTTTCTTAGCTTCTGAAATGTTACCACTGTCTTACCAAACATGTTGAAAAATACTGCAGGGCAAGGTGGGGATGGCAGAGAGAAGGTCACTCACATTTGCATAACCTACATTACAGACTAAATTAGACCAATCTCCCCAGCATGTGAAATTTACTGCTCATGCTCAGTGCTAAGTCAAGTCTTACACAACACCTGTTTTTTTTTTCCTCTGGCTTCACATGACATTTGGCAACAGATCTATTATGTGTTATTTACAGGTAATTTTTATACTAACTTTGTGGTGTAAAAAAGTTGATTTGGGGAAGCAGTTACAGAAAAGTTATGAAAAAACAAACAGATTAAAAACCAGGCATAAACAGGCATACCTGAGCTCCTTTAGGTCTTCCTTAAAAACCTGGAAAGACAAGGAAGGTGAAATTTTACAGGATGTAGTCTTGAAAGATCATTTCTTACCTAGTGAATTAATAGTGGTTACTTGCTTGGCATCTCTCCCCAAAAGTTTTAGTCTCGAGTGCCAGTAGTTTTGAAATGACAGGTTACATATTGAGAATTATTTTTGGAAGTGTTTAATCAAGTTGTGAGAAATTAATCTTAAAGACGTAAATCTCTTGGAAGCCTTTATTTTTGAAAACAACATCCCTACCATTTCTTTTACGTAGCTATCCATAACATATTCTTCTTTTATAGTAATTATGTGCCCTTATTCTCAAATATGTTTTGCAGTAACTTGTTTAAACACTGACAACAGAAAGGAAGTGGCAAAAGATAAGCTCTGAATACTAAAAGCATACTTTCACTATGTATCCTGCAATATTTGAGCTTTCCCAGTATGCCTGCGTAAATATGAAAACGGTATCTTAAACAAGAGAGAGGTGCTGGAAGCCCAAAAGTGGTTCGCTCACATAAAAATAAAATGAGAAAGAAAAAACGTAAGGTAAAGTAACATGAAAAAGGAAAGAAAATAGCCATGAAGAAGCAATAGGGGTTGGGAACATGGGAGACGTATACATATTCACAAAGAACATCCATAGCATCAGCAGAAATAGCACTTTCTCTCAATTTCCACTATATTTTTCTGGCCATAAGACCGACCTTCCTCTATGGCAGAAGTATGAAGAAAGGCAGACAAACAAATATGAAAAATTGTAAGCGTGGACAAAATGAGCAGTATGTGTGAACACACAGTTAGGGTAGGAGAGACAGTTGATGCCAATGAAATAACACTTTGCAACGGTTTCTTCTGGGGTTTTAATTTAAGAGTGAAAACAAACGTGCACAGTGAACAAGATGCTGAAGCAAAAAAAGATACAGGAATCTCTTTCCCAAAGCTTAAATGCTCTTCCAAAAAGTTCACTGTAAGTCGACCCAACAAGTAAAATAATAAGCTCTAGATTTTTAACAGTTTCTTCCAACCGCTTTAACTTGGAGCAACACTTTTATGTGCAGCTCCCCACCCTGGCAAATAGGGTTTAGATGGTAACTTGCATCTGACGCAGCTTTTAACTTATCAGGACTCCAAGTAGTCACAGAACTTACTTCTTGTTTGAAAGTTGATAAGGGGAGTCTCAACGCTTCTCGGAGAAGGGTATACATGCCAGAAATGAGAAAAGCAAGCTGCTCTTCTGAGAGATTAGTGCTTTCTGCAATCAGCCTGACAGATTCCTTGCAGTCTTTTCCTTCCAATGCATTAACAGTGACTGTGAATAAGAAAGCAAAGCAAGATCCCTTTAAAAAGAGGAAGACCTGGAGACCGCGAACATTAACATAAACATGTCTATGATTTTACTTGACTTAATGTACTGACATTTTTCCTGATGTGAAACTGTTACGTCAGGTCTCTGTAAATACATCTGATCATCCACCACCACGTCAGTCTCACAACACTTTACCAAGAGAACTTCAATGGATTAAGCTTTTGCATTGTAAAATTGAAGATGTTTTCACTGCTGAAATTTGTTCCAGTGGGATAATGCAAAAAAGATTAAAAAATTCATTGCTCATGAGTTCAAATCCAGCTTGAGCTTCTATCAACAAACTTGTTCACATCAGAAGTCTGCTTACAGCTTAATTACACTTCTGATACCCAGCATAAGAGAGGACAGAGAGAGTAAACGATTCAACATTGTTCTCCAACGTTTCACGTAATTAATTTATCTTGCAATGTCAGCAGAGACTAAGGATTAAATGAGCAAGGAGACAAAACTAAACCTTCAAGTCTCGTAGTTTGCACAACTGTTGATAATACAGACTTTAAAGGAAATTACTGTTAACCCATGTAGCAATGTTATACACTAATAACTGGTGTGGGTTTATTTCAATCTTCATCATTCAGTTATTCTTCCCTTTTCCATATATGTACTGGCTTATGCAAATTTCTGTTGTCATGTCAGCCTCTGTCCTGCACACTGACCAGTCTGGATGAACTGCTGGAGCCACAGGAAGTCCCACTGTGGATAAAAAAAAAGATTACTGACACAATCCCACTGCGGGATTGGAGCATTAGATCAGTCATTTATAATGAGCCATATTTAGTGCTGTGAATAAAATATGAAAAGTTACAAATGGCCAGCAGGTGTTACTGAAAGCCAGCACTAAGAGATTAGCTTAATACTAAGGTTGGGAGAAAAAAAAAAAAAAGAAAAAAACAGCTTTAATCAAACTGCCAGCCTTCCTTTTGGTATTAGGCGAGTTCTACTGGCTACTATCTTCTAATTTTGAATAAATTCTCTTTGCTTTTCACATTTTTAAATGCACACCAAATTCAGTGGCAAGTCCTGGATCATTCATGTGGCTGACTGAATTTGTCTGGCACTACCTGCATGGCAGATTTCGCAAAGAGTAGCTAGGATGTGCAAGGTCCTAGTATCAAGCTTTCCACGCTGTCTGAAAAAGGCTCGCTCTACGACAACAAAACTGGCTTTGAGAAGAGTCTATTTGTTGGAAAGGCCAAATACAGATCAGCACTGAGGCCTGTCTACTAGATCACGCGCAGAGCAGGAAACAGGTTGCTGTCTACTTACCTACTTAAATACAACTTTGATCTGTCTCTTCAAAGAACAACAGGTTGCTTATAGTTTTTTAACTAGACAAGTTTAATGACAGTATTGGTCTTCTTTCTGTTGACCAACCCTAATAACTGGTTAAAAATCCACGTCTTCTTTTACAACCTAATTGCATTACCCTAGAATACAAGATTTTTTACTCAGTATAGCACAGGGAACTCAGAAATATCAGCTGTACCAGCATTTCCAACAGTCAATCTGAGGGAGAAAAAAAAGAATCACCCAAAACATCCCAAGAAAATCTCACTGCTGGGTCATTTGCTCCTAGCAGAAGATGCCTGTGGTCTCAAACTTAGACTTGCAGTTTAGCAGAGCCTGCAATAACACTGGCTGGATAACCCTGAGATAATGGTATATGCAGTTTTTACATCGTGAACTGAGCAGGCATATGAAGCAGCATCTCATTTTTTACGTTTGTTATTATTTAGCAATAGAGTAACAGCAACAGCCTCAAAAAACTAACCTGGTGCCAGTGCCAGAGCAATTCAGATACACTCTGCTGAAATCCATCATGTCTTCAAAGACTACTAAACCTTTAAAAGAAAAACCGCTGTCCTGCAAGCTGTTAATCACTGACCAGCAAGAGCAGAAGACGACTGGAGATTTCTGCCAGCTCTGCATAATCTGGAGGCTGTCTCCATCCGCCCCGGGGGACACGGGCACTGGGTGAATCAGTGCGGTAGGGTTACCTGACCTGGCTTCAGATGGTTTTGAAGGACTGTTTGCTCCCCCTACAGCAGGAAGCATTTATTGCACACCTAAATGTAGATAATTTACCCCAAAATTAAACCCAGACAGGGTTTAGGAGACAGTCAAGCTTCCTGGCACTGGTATATCTTTTCGGTCTCTGTTGCCCCTGCACTAGACAGCAAATATGGTTCAACATCTGTATTTACTTTTGTCCCAAATGCCTCTGCCTATACGTAGCTTTATTGCTTTCAATTATTGTAAGGAAACCCTGGACACACTGCTCCATTTCTGACACTGTGCAGCAACACTTTTAAAGATAAACCAGGTACCAGATGCTTTGGGTCCTTATTGACTCAAATCAGGGAGAAAAAGCCTGAAAGGAAGTTAGCTGAGAGAACTTGGGTGTAAGGGTCGCAGCACTACGCCGTGCTGCGCAGCAGCTGGTCTCCTGTCAGCTGGCCACAAACAAGCTGTTCTTTTGCTCTGCTAATCAACTCTTCTCTTCGATTATTCTGTGACTATTTTGCGTACAACAATTTACTCAACTGAGTAACTCTGGTTTTGGTGGTCAAAGGCGCCTTGAGAAAATCTCACCTGTCTTGCCTTACCACAGGGAGAAGCCTCACAGACAAAAATCACAGACCCCAACTTTAGCAAGACACCTCCCTTTATTTTCTCCTGCACGTTATGAAAATATCCATGGGGTCTCTGACCTTCACGTGCCCTACACAATCTGACAGCGACTCGACCACTGGTTCTGGGACTGAGGGATGAGAGAGGAATGATTTTAACAGTGCGCAGTATGAGTTTGGGGCCATCCATAGCTGCAAAAGTCCGTACCTCAATCTCACGGATTTTACAGAATTTTAGAACACGACCAAGAAAACCCGTCGTCGTATTTAACCCTCAGCTTTAGCTTCCTGCAGGGAAAAGCAATGGGAAGCGTCCCAGGAGAGCTGCAGCCCTGCCCGCGCACGGCAGAGGAGAGCAGACCCTCCAGCTGCCCTCGCCTTCCTAAGAGGATCCACGGCGTCCTGGAGGAACGCGGCCCGGGCCCGCCGGGTCTGGCTGGGGAATCCCTCCCGTCCCCCTGCGGCGGGGCAGCGAGGGCCCCTCCCGCGCCCACACCACACGCCACGCTCGTACCTTTGAGGAGCCGCCGGGCCGG